ACCAGGTAGAAAGCCTTCCAAGCAGAGGTATCAGTCCTGGAGTGTCGGAAGTGGACATGCGTGTGGCGTGGGCAGAACAGCATGGCCAGTGTGGCTAAGGTGTTGTGGTTAGAAGTGAGGCGGCGAAACAGGGGAGCAGGCAGACGATGAGCCATTCCTACCCCCTTCTGCCATTTTGATTTCATTGCTCTGCTTTCTACACACTTTCTCAACTTGGGTTTCAATTTGTCTCGTCTCTCAACTGTGTATTTTTGTTACAGGCTTTGCTCAGCCCATCCTCTGCCCTGTCCCTGATCCCCAGCTTGAAATACTCTGCCCAAGTCTATTGTTAAAGATCCGGGAAGAGCCCTCTCCTCCAGGAAGCCCTTGCAAGTCTTCTGGCCTTCCTGACCTTTACTGAGCTTCAGTGTCATCCGTCCTCGGGCACCTGTCATTGGCTTGCCATTGTTGTTGGATAACTTTTCCCTACTTATTTAAAATCAGTTATTTGAACTCTCTCCGTGTGTTAGGCAGTGAACACCTAAATGAACACCAGCACCTCTGGGAGGCTGTTTTACCATTTCCGTTTTACAGAAACTAAGAGTTCAAAGACTTGGCCCATTTCACGCGGATTAATTAACAAGGAGTGCACTGGGACCGGGATCCAAATCGTACCGTAGGCAAGCCATAGTCCTTGTCCTTCCTACACATTAAAGGGTTAACCTAGTACCTCCTCCCCGCTGTCCATTCATTCCCGTCCCGGCGAATCCAAAGCGGCCGCGGCCAGGGAAGCTTGTCCATTGAGGGACGCCGTAGCGGCACTCCTCCAGCTGCTCCGTCCCCGCCGAACATGGCGGCCCCCGAGTCTGGGTCGGCTGTGAGTGCAGGCGCCGCGGACGGCGAGGAGGAGACGATCCTCTATGACTTGTTGGTCAACACCGAGTGGCCACCAGAGACAGAAGTCCAGGTGAGCCCGGCCCTGTGCGGCTGCGGCCAGCTCGGCGCGGCCATTCGCGGGCCGGGCCACGTAGAGCAGCCACGTAGCGGAGCGAGCCGGGTGGGCGGGGGAGAGGGCTCTGAGGCCCGGGCAGTCGCCCTGGCAACGGCACTCGGGGCTGCGGGGTCCTGACGCCCCAAGGCGAGGGGTCCCAGTGGTCTCCCCTGGGCTCAGTTGGTTGTCGGGGTCGGGGGCGGGACCTCGTGCTCTGGGCTGAGTACCGTCCTACTCCAGTTGTCAGTTTCCATTTGGTTCTTGGAGCGGGGGGCACAGCCCCTGGACTCGAGGGTCCCAGCTGGCGCCAGGGAGGGCTGGTCTGGATCCACCCTCCTCCGCGGTGGGAGAATTTTCCAGGACCATAGTCTTCTCCACATCTTGCGGCCGCGGACTCTGACCCTTCACTCTTACTTGGGCTGAATCACTCCAAGTCCTGCGCCTGTGTGTGCCGGTGTCCCTGTTTCCCGCACATGGTGCTAGGTGCTGGGGATAAGCTAGAGGAGAGACCATCCAGTTTCATGACTAGCATAATATGCGCTATAGAGGCAGTGCGAGCGAAAATGCCTTGAGAGAGATGAGGAAGGCGTTCCTTTCAGCGGAGTTGGGATCTCTGCCAGGGGAGGTTGTTACAGAGGTTGGCAATTGATGAGCTGGACCTTGAAGTTTTCATGTATTTTAGAGGGAGGGCCTTCCAGGCCCAAGGTGAAGAGTAGGAACTGAGGATCCACGTTTATGAAATCGATCCTTTTTTTTTTTTTTTTTTGTGCTTAGCATCTGTACCTCACTTTTTACATTTA